CGTAACGTATCCAAATTTCGGGTTTGATCCTTGGCAGGATTATGTTTTGCATCTTTGCTTCTGCAATCAAACCTGATATTGGCCAACCCCCGTGGGTGTTCCTTTAACTTTTTCATATATTTAGCCGTTGAACTGGAAGTACGTTGTTAGGCATAAGTTTATGGATTCCATCAAACTTTTGTGTTGCATTTTAGATTGTTATAGGAGGTGTTCGTCGTTGCCGAGTTGCTGCTCCAGGGTCTCTTTTGCTAATTTCTGTTCATTTGAGGTATATAGTGCTGTGACGTCGAAAGATATCATTATTTCCAGTTCATCTATTTTGATACCTCTGATTTTCTCTAGAAATTGGATAGCGGAATTGATGGAGTGATCACAAGATTCCGTTAGGTGTTTCAATTTTATGTATAGTTCTTTGGATAAGTTGTATGTTGGAGTTCCTGAGAGGGATACAGTCGTCGTAACGGGATATTTTGCTTGTTTATTATGTGTCTGCCGTAGAATCGGGGTAGGACTAGTCCAATGGATTTCATTCATAATTGGTCTTGTTTTGTGATCTGACCAGTTTTGGTGAGCTTGTTTAAGGTTCTTTGGATGCCGTTTTCTGATGTTTGTACGGGATTTGTTGAGAGTTGTTGATATATATCCTCATCTTTGAGTAGTTCTTCAGCTTTTTTGGTGTATTTTTCTTTGTCTATGACTACTGTTGTTCTTCCTTTGTCAGCTGGCAGAATGACTGTGTCCTTCCTATTTTTCAGCTTTTTGAGGGCCTTTAGGTCTTGAGAGTTGAGTTGTGTGTGTTGCTTTTTCTGTGTGACCATTGGTACAATAGTTTGGCGTGTTTCCTGTGTTTCCTCTTTCAAGTTTGATGATTTGAGTAATGATTCAAGGGCAGCGAAGAAGTCAGTTTTTGAAGCGTCTCCATTGTTGTAGTTTAATCCTTTTTGTAGTAGTTATTGTTCTATTTTTGAAAGTGGTTGTTTTGATAGGTTGACTACGCAGTCAATAAGTTCATTGTCTGGTTGTTGTTTTCTAATCTTGGCTAGCTTGGTTTTGAGAACTCTCCGTCCTTGTTCTGTGTGTCTTCTAATTGACAATGTAAATGCGGTGATCAGCGTCGACAGGTGTTCTTGGTTAAGGGTTTTCTCTTTTTGGGCATCTATTATTTGTTGATATTTGTTGATCCATAGGAAAACCATCCACCTCCGACGATACATCTCAATTCTCAAGAAGAGTGATGTGATTGACAATTTCTATCTCTGTATTGTTTAAATACTTACTGTTGATTGCTAATATGTTTCATATATGAATTGCATTAGAATTCCGCTAAATACAAATTCCTGAATTCCGCCCTCTCTGTGTTTTGTCTGGATTCTTGTAATTCGGTCATCTCGAAATACTAATACTACGATTACAATAAATTACTACAAATTGGCGTCGCGATGGAACCAAATAACCTTGGAAAATTTCCTATAAATGGTTCACCACGGGAAATAGCTGATTATCTTGAATGCTTCGATGCATGGTGCATTTCAAAGAACGTTCGGGATGACAAAATTCCAGCTCATTTCATTACTGCTATTGGGCTATATGCATATAGCCTAGTAAAAAATCTGACAATTCCAGATAAACCTATTTCTGTGTCATATGAAAAGATCCGTGAACTTCTGATACATCACTTTCATGTAACTACTTTTGAGACCAGAGAGAGAGCTCAGTTCAATGAACTGGTTCGTGCTCCCAACCAGAAGATTAGAGACTTTATTCTTCAACTCCAAATATTACGTGATCGTCTAATTCCTGGAATCAATTGTAGCAATTCATTGTAATCGTAGTATTAGTATTTCGAGATGACCGAATTACAAGAATCCAGACAAAACACAGAGAGGGCGGAATTCAGGAATTTGTATTTAGCGGAATTCTAATGCAATTCATATATGAAACATATTAGCAATCAACAGTAAGTATTTAAACAATACAGAGATAGAAATTGTCAATCACCACATCCGCCACACGTTGAATATCTCCTTGCGTATTTATAACGATGTCTCGGTTTGCTTGCAAGTAGCTGCGACCCTCTAACTGATTCTGTGATATTATCTTCATCACTGTTATCTGGACTTATTTCAGAATTATCTACAAAATCAGGATTAGTAGCGGAATCATTAAAATTATAATTAGAACGACCTTCTTCATTTATTGTCACTTTGTCCAGGTATCTGTTATCAACTGAGTGATCTTTGATGTCTAATATCTTCACCATTCGATTTCCCATTTTTTGTAGTATGATTCCAACAGAAGGTCTATAGTCATTCCCTCTGTGATAATGTACATTAGAAGTCGCGGATATCAGATGCTTTCTGAGAATTCGAGATTTGAATAGTTTTGCAGGACTTTCACGAGTACTAGTATGCTCTGCATTCAACAGACGCAGTCTATGTATATTCATCAATTCCTCCATTTTAATCAGTTGCTCTCTCATCTCATTCAGGTTTTTTCGTGTTTTCGACAGTTCACATTGTAACTCGGCTACCTCATTTTTGAAAACAGTTGACGCTTGAGTTGCCGAACTTGTAGTGGAGGTTTTCATGGGATGAGATTGAGTATTTTGAAAGGTTGAAAGACACATTGACTCCATTTTACTAGACAGATTGGGAGAATTATAAGAATGTTGAGCAGCATAAGTATTCGAACTTCTGCAAACAGTCTTGATGTGTCCAACTTGACCACATTTGTGACACTTAGCACCTCGAAAACGGCAAGTGCTTCGTAGATGTAACTTTCCAAAGGAAAAACACGGTTTAATGTTTTTGATCTCTCGCTGCATTCTATTACCTGTGGACGGCAGTTTGGATTGCTTTCCATGAACACTTGTATTTTCGACTTTGGAAAGCATGACATCAGATACTGAAGTAGTGGGAGCAGAGTATTCACTGTTGACATCTTCATATGTAATACATAAATCTTTAGCAGTTTGAAAGGTACAAGAAGGAATCTGAATTAACTCTTTCTCTTACTTACTGTTGATTGCTAATATGTTTCATATATGAATTGCATTAGAATTCCGCTAAATACAAATTCCTGAATTCCGCCCTCTCTGTGTTTTGTCTGGATTCTTGTAATTCGGTCATCTCGAAATACTAATACTACGATTACAAATAATTACAACAAGTGATCACGTGTTTGGTATCCCTGCTTTTGCTGTTACCACTCTATCTCACACCAACATTCAGGTTCAAACATGCCTATGGAGACCTATTATGATTGTCATGAGCCCCACAGACGTTGAAGAAGATTTAAACGTACATTCGCTCAGTTAATTCGGGATTTTATTGGATTATCCTTTGTGAGAAAAGGATGAGTCCCACTAGTAGCTGAGGCAAGCGAAATCGTAGTCACACGACACCTACTATTGTTATTTTCAAGGCTTAAACCTGCAGATTTAATGTGGAAAATGAATTACAACAGACTGCCCGTTTAGGGTGGAATTTGATATACTCCTAGTCTAGGCTTCACCTGAGGCCTCAAGAGACTTTACCTTAACACAACATTAACATGTTTCGTCAACAGACTAAAACGGCGTACCCAGATTCTTAAGCACTTACTGTATCAACAGATATTCCAAACGGCTAGTGGTATATCCAACTCGTCAATTGGTTGATATCTGTAGAATATCTGTAAAACAATGCTGATGCAAAGCTCATTCTACCTACATAGTCAGGTATATACAGTATAGCTTGCAATACAGACTCACTACTGTTATAGAGTGAAATAAACCATAAGACATAAAATATTATTTCGACGCTCTCCTATACTGATTAACCTTTCTTTTTATAATGTTCAAGCTTCATTTTCACTGAGCTAATTCAGGAAAGTCAATTCGTCCTCGACGAGTTGCACCCCAGAAAGCATTCACAATATTTCAAGCAATTTTCTGGTAATTTTTCGAGTTACATGAATTATTCCGAATTAATACTTCTGCATTCATCTTGCAACCTGTGTGCGTGTGTGAGTTTGGCACTGAGTGTAGGCATGGGCATTGTTTTACAATGAAACATGTGATGAAACTGAGGGTTGCGTGGTGAAGACAGGCGCTAGCAAATAAGGCTGAATTTGTGTTATTGGTATGTCCAGATAGAGTAGGACATAGGTTTTTACAAAGTCACAATCTGCGTCAAACGCAGTATGGCAAAACTGACATCATGGATAATCAGATTTGACAGGTAAGGATGAGTGTGGTACCGATGATTTCTGCGTTATCAGCCGAGATAAAATTAGTGCTTAAGGAGACTATCTAACGCATCGGCTCATCTGGCTGGTAGACAAAACTGAAGCACTCAGTCACGTGACATGTATACGAAAAGATTCGGAATCACATCGACACCTCAATTATACAAACAACTCACACCGATAAACTCAAATCACATACACGAGAGCAGAAGAATATGAGACAGAAAAATTCCGTAACGCATTCTCATTAATCAAGGCGGTGTTACGCAGAAGATTAGACAGTTGTCACGCTTAAGTCGGTAAAAATTAGCGAAAATTCCGTAGGTGTTATATTTAATAATGTCTTTGCCATGTAAGCAGCTGACGAGGAGGCAACGAAATAAAAGATGGTACCATTTTATTCTGCTAAAACTGTAGTTCTTGCTTTGATCAAATTCATTAAGATAAATAAATGTATGAAAATTCCGTAAAAACAGAACAAAATCTAAAATTATAAAAGAACAATTAAAAACCGATTAGATTCGAAATGTGATGACTAGGGAGATCGAGGCTTTGTTCGAAAGGTCAGGTGTTTGAACATGACGAGACTGGATGCATTCCAAATATTGGTTGATAATTATGACAAAGACAGTCAACCACCCACACGAACAACTAACCAATCATCCAACGAAGTAACCAACTAACTAACTAATAAATCAGGCGGTTAATCAAACTGGATGAAAAGGACAACACAGCTCTGCAGAATACTCTTTATTATTCTCAATATACAAAGTGAGTAATAGTGTGTGTAATCGTGTAAAACACAGAAGTGGAAATATAAATCAAAAATACTCATAACGTCAAGATATTTACATCGTCGCGAAGGACATCATTTCATCCAATTCTCACGAATCTATTCATATTGCGTTTCTCTGTAAAACAAGAGAGAAAAGAAGAACATTTAACACTCTCGACTGTCTCATCTGATGGATGGTGAAATACATCATCAGTCAGTTGTCTGACACTCACCATTGCTGTTCGGATCGGTGAGAACCTCGGTGGAATACATCGCGAAGAGAAGTAGGATTGAGAAGAGCAATTGGAAGCACACTCGAACATAGCTCACCTGAAACACTCAATCTCGCTCATTATATCGTCACACATACCTGATTATTATTCGTCATCTCGGATGACCAAAATGGCTATTCACACAGTCAGTTGAAACAAAGTAGCATGCAGATCAACTCACTTATATATATAGAATTCATCGAAGGGGGGCACATTGATTGACGTTAACAAACCAACATCAAGTTTTGTTACCAGGCGTACCTACTTCTTCTGATGTGGGTCAACTTGGGGTTATGCACACGGTGATATCATAAGTATCTTCTGATATGATGAGAAAGCTTGTCCTGACACGTTAGAATATACGTATATCACACACTCGTTAATGTGTAATATGAAGAAATAATTTCCGTCTCTTCTATGAGAATAGCTTACTCTTGTGATAGAAGAGTGAAACTTGTGAAACTTTGCACGCCAATCATTGTGTACAACGTGCATCAGTTTTCAAGGTATCTGGGTGGTAGCGCCATCTATTGTGACAAAGCGATTCATGTTAGAATGTGCAAGGAATCAAGTGAGGTCACGCGAACATTCTGAGAAGACAGTCTCATGATTTGGGATTGATTAGTAGAATAAGCGTGAAATATATGACAACGCTTTGCTCTCAAAATCGTGACACAAACAAAGTTACTTGAAGAGTTCAGGTTTCTCAATGTAAGCGTTCCAACAATGTTCACGGTGTATAAAACTGGCCGTCGAATTCATGTGACTGCAAGCGTCTTCCTAATACGTTGTCTCATTTCACCTTCCACATACTTCTCATTTGCGTCAATCCATGTGAAATGTAAACGGGTGGGAATAAACATGGACACAACGACTACGAAATTTACTACTGTAACGCCAGAACACCATAATACTCGTTAACAGGATTGTTTGTATAGCGAATTGTGTAGAGTTACAGTGAAATACGAAATCCTCACATTGAAGTCTCCACTCGCCCATCCTCCTCTTCGTTTCGTGCTTCTTTTATCTTCGCCATTTGCTAATTCATGGGAAATTCGCATTGCAACATATAGAAAATCGAAACAAGTCGTGATTCAGCGAAGAGACTCTTTTCAACGAATTTATTATCAAGATGTACAAACGTATATAAATATATACATGTTTATAAATGGTGTTTTTAAGAAGTTATATCCGGTGAGGGAATTGAATCATGGGTGTGAATGCATAAAATAAAAATAGTAGTATGGAATGCAATTAAAATATTTTTGATTATAATCATAGTTAAATGTCAAGTGACAAAACAGCTAATGTCATATATACAATAATTCATAGGATGTATAGAACTTGGAAACGTCCCATTGTAAAATATACTTTTGTTGGGTTACACCTTGATTCCACACCATTTTTTTTCGAATACCGATATTTTTGAGGTTTCTTTGTATTGCCTCTGATGTACCATTTTTATATGTTATTGCGACTGTTTTTTCCATTCTTCCTTCTTGTTATCCTCCGGTTTTAGCCTCTTTTTTCTCTGTTTTATATTATCTTTTATAAATTCTCTAGGGTAGTTGTTTTCGAGTATCATTTTGAATAGGACGTTTATTTCTTTACGCTGGTCCTCTGGTGCTGTTGTAAGCCTACGTATTCTATCTGCAAAACCTTGTATTAATCCTCGTTTTACCGAGAGTGGATGAGCTGAGTAATAATCAAGGAATCTTCCAGAATGTGTGGCTTTTCTATATATCGTTGTTTTTATGCTACCATCTGTCATTCTTTGTAGTTTGCAGTCTAACATGGGCAGTTCTCCAATTTCATTCTCTGATTCCATAGTGAATTTTAGTGAGTCGACGTGTCTGTTTATGTGAGAGAAAAGTTTCTCAGTATCGTTTTTTTCACTATTACTAGTGTGTCGTCTACATATCTCCACCAACATTTTAGTGATGATCTGAATGGTTTAAGGGCATTTTCCTCCCAATAATCCATGAATATGTCAGCTATAATTGGTGAGATAGGCGATCCCATAGCTACTCCCTCATTTTGTTGGTATATTTTTCCTTCGAATGTGAAATATGTTGTTGTCAGACAGAATTCTACCCCTTTTATTATTTCTTCTACGGATAACTGTGTTCTGTCTTTCAGGCCTTTATCTTCATTTAGTTTCTCTTTCAGTGCAATCATGGCCATTTGAATGGGTATTTTCGTATAAAGACTGTTTACATCAAAGCTAACTAGTATTTCTTCCTCCTCTATTTTAGTGGTTTTTATTAGCCTCACTAATTCAAATGAATCTACTATTCTAGCTTTTGAGTTGTCTCTTGTTGGTCTTAGTATTGTCGAGAGAAATCTGGATAGCATATACGTTGGTGTGTTTCTGAAGTCTACAATCGGTCTTATTGGATATCCCTCTTTATGCAATTTTATCTTACCATATATCCCAGGTACATTACAGGATTTTGGCATAATTTCAAACCATTTTGACTTACCAATTACTTCTTTCATTTGTCTAACTATATTTGCTGTTTCTTTCATTGTTTTGTTGATGATTGTTTCAGCTGATTTAGTCATTATGGTATAGGGTCCAGATTGTAGATGTTCATTCATCTTTTCACTATATGTTGTTTTGTTAAGTAATACTGTTGTGTTGCCTTTGTCTGTTTGAGTAATGACAGTGGATTTGTCTGCTTTTATGTCTTGAAGTGCTTTTAGTTCCTCCTTCGTTATATTTGGTTTTTCTGCTTTTTGCTTTTTTAAGGTAAGTGCACATTGTGCTCGTACCAGTTCAGCTTTTTGCTTGTCATATCCTTCGAGTGCTGTTTCAATTACAGGTATGATGTCTTCTGGTTTTAATCTTTTGTTGCTGATATTGAAGTTCATCCCTTTCATCAGTACAATTTCCTCTGCTTCTGTTAGCTTTCTGTCTGACAAGTTTACAATCCAATTGGCTTTAGTTACTTGTCTGTCATTCGGAGTTTTCGCTATCATGAGTTTATTAAGTTTTTTGATTTGTTTCTCCTTTGTTTTTTCATAAGTGGTTTCTTTTCGTTTTTGTGCAACTTGTAGTAGGCTTTCATACTTTTCTTTTTCAATTACTTCTTTCAATTTTTCTTTTACTTCATTAATATCTTTCCTTATCGTGAATAGCTTTTGTATAATTCCACGTAGGTTTTCTTTGATGCATACTTTTGAGGCATGTGTGAGCGCTGCATTTGCTTTATCAGTAGATATTGGTGATTTTAATTTCATGTATACAGGAATAATTCCATTTTAAGGCATCTGATGTTGAAAATTCGATGGTTCATAAATCGAGATTCAGCTTGATATAAATGTGTGAGTTTGTTGGCCAGTCTTTTAATGGGAAGACCGTCAGTTGAATTAATATCAGTAAAAAGTTTGAGCATTGTGGATTAGATCAAATAAAGTATAATTATATTTTAATAGTTTACACACAATGATAAGTTTTGTTATTGGTAATATTTCGAGCAAAATTACTGCCCGTGTTCACATCACTGTTGGAATTGTTTTATTCACACATTTATGATTTGTACTCATATATATAGTTCATTATTATACAATTGGTGAATGGTGGCTAGCAGTGGAATCCAGGATGTGCATTTCGTCCTATTTGGGACTCGTCAGCTGGATGTACCTGCATTTCTCAGTGAGTGATGATGTTCCCACTGAGGCTCAAACCCAGTACCCATAGTTTCAAACGCCAAAGCGTTATCCACTAGACCACTTGGGTCACGAGAGCCACCTCTTGTGCGACGGGTCATATTAATTATTGAATTGAATTTTGATTTTCCCATCGATTGATTGGACCGAAGTGCTCGTCTCAGGTTGACATGTCGGCTTCTTGTGCAGATGCTTCGACGATGTCTGGGCATTTAGTTAGTATACAATTGGTGGATGGTGGTCTAGTGGATAACGCTTTGGCGTTTGAAACTATGGGTACTGGGTTCGAGCTTCGGTGGGAACGTCATCACTCACTGAGAAATGCAGGTACATCCAGCTGACGAGTCCCAAATAGGACGAAATGCGCATCCTGGATTCCACTGCTAGCCACCATCCACCAATTGTATACTAACTAAATGCCCAGACATCGTCGAAGCATCTGCACAAGAAGCCGACATGTCAACCTGAGACCGAGCACTTCGGTCCAATCAATCGACGGGAAAATCAAAAATTCAATTCAATAATAGTTCATTATTATTATTATTTTTTTGCTCATTCATGTTTTGTGTGTGCATATGTGTGTTCAGAATTATACTCCACATTCATTTATGTGTTTGTATTTAGAATTATATTCCAAGTTGTTGATAGTTGTACTGAGTCACCCTTGTTACATGTATCCGGTGTGACTTTAATCAATATCGATTCTGTTATGAGTCTTTCTTTCCATTTGTTCATGTTTGTTTTTAGAATACACACATTGTCCCAATCGATATTGTGGTTTTTGTCCCATGCATGTGCAGCTATCGATGAATTTTTTTCAAGATTTTTGTAAGCTTGTGTCCCTGTTGGTTGACCTTTAGTTAGGCGTTTATGTTCATTCACTCTTATTTTGAGTGATCTGGACGTTTGCCCCACATATTTAGTTGGACAGTCAGCACAAGATATTTTATAAATCAAATTGTTTTTATCCATCATTTTTATAGGATCTTTCAGTTGATTTATTTTATTTTTGATTAGATTTGTCGGTTTAAAGGTTCTTCGAATACCGATATTTTTGAGGTTTCTTTGTATTGCCTCTGATGTACCATTTTTATATGTTATTGCGACTGTTTTTTCCATTCTTCCTTCTTGTTATCCTCCGGTTTTAGCCTCTTTTTTCTCTGTTTTATATTATCTTTTATAAATTCTCTAGGGTAGTTGTTTTCGAGTATCATTTTGAATAGGACGTTTATTTCTTTACGCTGGTCCTCTGGTGCTGTTGTAAGCCTACGTATTCTATCTGAAAATGTTACTATGACTTTTCTCACTTCGGGCTGTGGCCGGTATCATTTCACTTGTTCCACTTGTCATTCTAAATCATTTCTGTTTTGCAACGTTAAATTCCATGTTATCAAATTTCACACAATATTACGCAACGTTTATATTCTATTCGATTTGCCCGCTAGTCCTATAGTTGCACACCTCTTCCAAGTTCTATACATCCTATGAATTATTGTATATATGACATTAGCTGTTTTGTCACTTGACATTTAACTATGATTATAATCAAAAATATTTTAATTGCATTCCATACTACTATTTTTATTTTATGCATTCACACCCATGATTCAATTCCCTCACCGGATATAACTTCTTAAAAACACCATTTATAAACATGTATATATTTATATACGTTTGTACATCTTGATAATAAATTCGTTGAAAAGAGTCTCTTCGCTGAATCACGACTTGTTTCGATTTTCTATATGTTGCAATGCGAATTTCCCATGAATTAGCAAATGGCGAAGATAAAAGAAGCACGAAACGAAGAGGAGGATGGGCGAGTGGAGACTTCAATGTGAGGATTTCGTATTTCACTGTAACTCTACACAATTCGCTATACAAACAATCCTGTTAACGAGTATTATGGTGTTCTGGCGTTACAGTAGTAAATTTCGTAGTCGTTGTGTCCATGTTTATTCCCACCCGTTTACATTTCACATGGATTGACGCAAATGAGAAGTATGTGGAAGGTGAAATGAGACAACGTATTAGGAAGACGCTTGCAGTCACATGAATTCGACGGCCAGTTTTATACACCGTGAACATTGTTGGAACGCTTACATTGAGAAACCTGAACTCTTCAAGTAACTTTGTTTGTGTCACGATTTTGAGAGCAAAGCGTTGTCATATATTTCATGCTTATTCTACTAATCAATCCCAAATCATGAGACTGTCTTCTCAGAATGTTCGCGTGACCTCACTTGATTCCTTGCACATTCTAACATGAATCGCTTTGTCACAATAGATGGCGCTACCACCCAGATACCTTGAAAACTGATGCACGTTGTACACAATGATTGGCGTGCAAAGTTTCACAAGTTTCACTCTTCTATCACAAGAGTAAGCTATTCTCATAGAAGAAACGGAAATTATTTCTTCATATTACACATTAACGAGTGTGTGATATACGTATATTCTAACGTGTCAGGACAAGCTTTCTCATCATATCAGAAGATACTTATGATATCACCGTGTGCATAACCCCAAGTTGACCCACATCAGAAGAAGTAGGTACGCCTGGTAACAAAACTTGATGTTGGTTTGTTAACGTCAATCAATGTGCCCCCCTTCGATGAATTCTATATATATAAGTGAGTTGATCTGCATGCTACTTTGTTTCAACTGACTGTGTGAATAGCCATTTTGGTCATCCGAGATGACGAATAATAATCAGGTATGTGTGACGATATAATGAGCGAGATTGAGTGTTTCAGGTGAGCTATGTTCGAGTGTGCTTCCAATTGCTCTTCTCAATCCTACTTCTCTTCGCGATGTATTCCACCGAGGTTCTCACCGATCCGAACAGCAATGGTGAGTGTCAGACAACTGACTGATGATGTATTTCACCATCCATCAGATGAGACAGTCGAGAGTGTTAAATGTTCTTCTTTTCTCTCTTGTTTTACAGAGAAACGCAATATGAATAGATTCGTGAGAATTGGATGAAATGATGTCCTTCGCGACGATGTAAATATCTTGACGTTATGAGTATTTTTGATTTATATTTCCACTTCTGTGTTTTACACGATTACACTATTACTCACTTTGTATATTGAGAATAATAAAGAGTATTCTGCAGAGCTGTGTTGTCCTTTTCATCCAGTTTGATTAACCGCCTGATTTATTAGTTAGTTAGTTGGTTACTTGGTTGGATGATTGGTTGGTTGTTTGGTTGGTTGGTTAGTTGTTCGTGTGGGCGGTTGACTGTCTTTGTCATAATTATCAACCAATATTTGGAATGCATCCAGTCTCGTCATGTTCAAACACCTGACCTTTCGAACAAAGCCTCGCTCTCCCTAGTCATCACATTTCGAATCTTATTGATTTTTATTGCGTCCTGATTCATTCTACACCTCTTGATTCGCATCTGACATTTCCTTCATAAGAGATCTTCGCCTTGTCAAGAGATCTTCTGAATCTTGTGTTGGCCTCTTCAGTGCACAAACTGACTCATGTGGAAACACCTCCCACGTTCGACTCGTGTCACACTCAGTTTCACCATCTCAGCCTTTCATTGTTCATAGTCCTCACAAAATGCTCCTCAATTACTGGTATAGTTTGAGATTTTGTTCCTACGCGGGTGCCTGCCTCACTCCGAAGTTATTGTCGGCCAGGCATCAGGTTCCAAATGATCACCATTCTTCGTGTCTGAAGTGACCAGTAATGGTGAGAAAGTCTCCACACCTCACAACACATTTACTACACTGAACTGGAAACAGTGTATAATGATGTGTGTATCGCCTGATTACAGTCCACATTTTTCCTGCACTCTATCGACCAAGATGACTGACTGACTGACTGACTTGTTCACATACGAAAAGCCTACAACTTCATTCAGTTATACTTGCACCCCACTGACTAGTTGTGGGAATATATAACACTCACACCCACTAATACCTGTATCTACTGACGATTCAATGAAGAGAGAGAGAGAGAATATAGAAATACACATTCACACCACAGTGCATCTGTCGTCACCTTCTAATCACACGAACTTCCAAATGTCCACTACATGTTTCAGTCTGCCCAGATAAACAAATCAACCCTCGAATGTTCAGTAGACATAAATGCTCATATACACGTCAAACGAATGAGAATTACTCCTTGTTGCACAACGGACACTAATTCGAATGTCTTATTAGATTCAACTCACTGATTACAGGAGAATTGCTCATATTCACAGTGAACTTAAACCCTATCTCATATCCTCAAACATTATCAGTTTTCGGAACGAAATGTGTATATAATGATAGGGGTATTTTCGTGGATTTTAGCAAGTGGTCAGTGATAGGATTTTCGAGGGAGAAGAAGGTGACGGCTGCACTGTGATGTGAATGTGTACTCCTCTACTCTCGTCATTGAATCGTCAATAAATACAAGCATGGGAGGCCGTGAGTGTTAAACTCTCCCACGTCTAGTTGGTGTGCTGTTGGGTAGTTCCTGACAACAATGTCAAGTTGTCTGTACTATAGAGTCAGCATGAAGTTTCCGTGATGCTGAGATCTAGCAGGGTGGATGGCCAGACAGCAGTATGCAATGAGTGGTATTTACATTTGAAGCAGACCGGAAGCGAGCTCGAAGTCGTCCTATAAGCCTGTCTGAATGGCATCCTAGGCGCGTAAGAGTATAGTATAGTATAGTATACGACTTCAAATTTACCATAATCACTCCAGCGGACGCCATTTATATTTATATGAATACTTGTGTACTAATTGTTAGTGCTGCTTCTTCAATGAATGACGACAAGTAATAATAACAATATATTCACATTTCACCTTCCTCATTTGAATTCACCTCGATAACGTGTCTTCTTCTTCTTCTCCTCCTCCTCCTCCTCCTTCTTCATTGAGACCTACATCAATGC